TAAGTCAAACCCCAATTTTCTTCAGTCTTATTCTAGCTTTCTTTTTTTGCCAAATTGTCTTCCATGTCTATGCTTTTGAGTCATCAAATAAATCTCCCTGTGTTATTATGTATGTTGTTTGATGTAGAAAAAACCATCCAATCACCATTTTTTTGAGAGGACTAACAAATTGTCTCTCTATTTTTCCATCTTGATGTAGCTGTCTTAAATTGTTTATCTTCTCTTCAATCTGTTGTTCTTCTTGATCCTCAGGTTTCTTCTGATTTATGTAGAAAATCTTTTCCCTTTTCCATTTTGTCAGTCCCTTTTCTGGGTTTTCCATTGATTGTACTTGTTGATTAACTGACTCCTCAGTCTTAGTATTTAATTGGTCCATTTTTTTCTGTTATATTCTGTGTAGTTGATTTTTCAGTTGTAATCAAAATTTGAGTTTGTGTATCTGGGCTGACATCCCGTTCTATTCTGTAACCTCTTATTTCTTCAGTAGCTGTAAGAATAGTTTGATAAGTTGCTTTCAGTATAAAGAGAATCTGTTCAGAGAATATAAAAAAAATTTCAGTGAGTATGGAACACAGCTGGACTTCACTGCTGAAAAGTGTCTCAGGGTTATAAGTCTTATCTATTGTCTAGACTAGGGTTTTTCAACCTTTCATAGATTGTACCATTTTTAGGACATGACAATATTTGAGTACCACCAGTGCTTAGCAAGTTGTCAAAAACTTGATGACTGAAAAAGGGGTGGGTGGGTTTTGCTGATTAGATTCATTTGTTTTTATAGAAATGGCTCGTTTATAATATTATGGAAAAGTAAAAAGTTGAGGTTCAGTGTTAATGCTTCCTTCTACTGCAACAGAGGAAGTCTGTTCTTTTTCCCTTCTCCTTCTCACTTCCCCCCCTTTTTCTTCCCCACTGTGTCCTACTATTTGCTTTTGTATTTTTGTATTTTATTCTATAATCTAATAAAATATTACAAACTGTAGAAAAAAAGAAAAAAATACCAGTTTTAATTTCTTCGGTGACTGTTCCTTTGCTGAATCACTTTCCCATTGCACTGACAAATGTATGATGAATTTATCCATGTTTATTAATATGTACCACTACCAGCTAGTTCAGGGGTCTTCAAACTTGGCACTTTTAAGACTTGTGGACTTCAACTCCCAGAATTCCTCAGCCCTCGTGGCTGGTTGAGGAATTCTGGGAGTTGAAATCCACAGGTCTTAAAGTTGCTAAGTTTGTAGACTCCTGAGCTAGTTGGTCAGCCCTTCTTCCTCTCTCCCTTCTGAGCTCTTTCACAGTGTAGTAAAAATGCACCCCCCAATCCCTTTTCTGTATCTTTAAAGACACAGGGATCAAGTGCAAAGCAAGAAACACAAACTCTAGGTTTTTTTCTCTTTAAGCTGCCTCAGGCATGTCACGTGTCACAATGTGGCAATCCTAGACTGAAAGGCTCCGGCAATTGTGAAAAGCTTTAGCTTTAAATTAAGCCTGTTTACCTTCAAAGAAAACTTTCTAAAAGCCATAGACAGACTCAGTTAAAGGGGGTAAAACTAATTACATTTGTTTAAAGGGATTAAACTTTTTCTGTTGTCTTTTTTCCCTTCCCCTGTCCAAACCACCTCCTTTTATAGCCTCTCCTCCCCCCCTTTTCAGTTCACCTCCAGCTCTGTGCTGCTTTTGAAAGTACCAATCAGCTGGAGCCAATCAGTTGGAGCCCTGCCTGGGGCTTCTGCCGAGCCCAGACAGTCATGCAGCTGTGGCTGCCTCGCTTGGCTTGCTTAGGCTCATTCCCCTCCCCTGCTATACTTGGCCAGCAGTCGCATACCTGTCACATGGCAAAGTACCACAGGTGGTACGCATACCACCGGTTGAAAAGCCCTGGTCTAGGCTGCCAGCCAAGTCTCTTTTAAATAATAACAGTTATAATATCAGGTTTAGCCAGAAGATGTCACCCCTATATTTAAATTTTTTCTTTAGTGCCGAAGTTTTTATAATCTTTTCAGTTTTACTTCTTTTTTATAAGTAAACATCCAGATCTTCAGTAAGAGTAGAAAGTCTTTTAATCCAGAAACTTTAAGAAATAAAATTCCAATTAGGATCAGGTTATTTTTGCAATATTTTAAAAGACTACCCTGGATAGTCAGTCACCGCTGTTTTTAGAGGGAGGAGTAAAATCTCCCTTCCCTCTCCACAGGGGAGAAAGTACTTAAGGCAGCTTATGCAGGTAAAGAAAATAGTTAGGATTTAAGAGAGGTAGTTAGGATTTAAGAGAGGTAGGATTTAAGAGAGAGCCAGTCTTGTCCGCGCTACCTTAAAATTGCTTGATGGTAAGTGTGACTTCGGCTGTCTGCAGCCTAGTGACGAGCCATATTGCTATGGCTGGTCTTTCGTCCGCTGGTTTGGAGGGCTGCCCTGGATCAAACGGAAGAGCTACCTCCCTCCCTCAATCTAATGGGGATCCCCTCCTTACTGGTTGCCCCTACAGGGCAACTTTTGACCCTTTCCAGGGTCCCCCAGCGAAGTGAAACTGAAAATGGAAGGCAGAGCTTACCTTCCAATATCCATATCACCTGCCTCGGCAAACCGGAAGTCCCAAAGCAATCTTCCTGACATTTGGTTGGTATTCTAGCTTTTAGAAAGCTGTCAAGATTTGTTTTTTTCCCAAAGCATTTGGGTCACTGGAGTTCTTATTAGTTGTTAATTGGTGAATTAGTTCTGATTAGATGTTATTGCTGTTTGAATCACATTTTATTGTTTATTGTTTCATTTTTGTTGGTGAAATAATAATAATAATAATATAAGCACCACTTGAATACCATTGGCATTGACAAATTCACTATTAGTCAATTGCAAAAGGCGGCCTTACTAGGAACTGCTTCCATCCTGCGACGATATCTGTAATACCATCAAACATCCACATCTGCCTATCCCAGGTCCTGGGTAAGGACTCGATAGGTAGACAAAATGCCAAATCCAGTTTGAACATCTGGCTGACTGTGCAATGATAATAATAATAATAATAATAATAATAATAATAATAATAATAATAATAAAGTTGGAAGGGACCTTGGAGGTCATCGAATCCAACCCCCTGCTCAAGCAGGAAACCCTACACCATTTCGGAAAGATGGCTGTCCAGTCTCTTCTTAAAAGTTTTAAAAAATAAAATATGGATTATGTATTTTGTGGTTTTGCTTTGTTTTGCTTTGTTTTGCTTTGTTGCTCAGAGTTACTTTGGTGGAGTTGGATAGTCATATAAATGTTTTAAATATACTCTGGTTTCTCTTCAGAACATATAAATGTTTATACATGTGTGTTTGTATGTGGGTAGGTGTGTACATGTGTATATAAAAATGACAATTAAAATCAGTAAATCTGTGCCAAAGAAAACATGCTGAAATATTGTATTTAACTCTAACCTCCAGACCATTTACTAAAGAGAGTAATTATGGTGTGAGACATTTCTTTCTCTTACTTTTCAGATCAAGTATCAATGGGAGAAAAATCTTTAGATCATAATCATATTGTGTTGTGCATGATATTTTTAAATTCTTGAATATGTAACTCTTAGGGGATTTCAGCTTTTTCTCTCATTCTATAAAAGTGAAAATATGTAGAAATTAAGGCATTATTTTTTTATTAATGCTTTAATGTTTGGGATTTTTTTTCTGTTCCTTTTTTTCTACTCTGCCATCAGAGATTAACTTTTCAAAGTCACCTGACCAAGCTAAGGAAGAAATGTATAGTCTTCCAGGTTCTAGTCTAGCACTTTAACCATTACACCAAACCAGCTGTCAATGCTGGGTGTCTCAGAAGAGAGACTCATTGGTACTAATGGATTCTTCTTTCTAAATCAAACAGTAAACATGTGAGAGGAGCTATTTGGGATTTTAGAAAATAACATACATTTTTCTATATTATAGTCCTGATGAAAACCTTTTCCATGTCTGCAATTCATCCATATTTTTTTGAAAAATGCAATAATTGTTAACAGCAAACCCAGATTTGGCCCTAGGTTTAAAGAAATGGTAAAAATCTGCACATAGTTGGTTTGAGCCAAGCAATTTAAAGCAATTCTGCACTAATGATTTTCAGTTGGAGAGAAAGCAGCTAATGAGTCATTTTCCTGCTGAAATCAATGGAACTTTTAAAAGCCTCAGTGTATTAGCCCATTATTTATTACAGAAAATAACTTATATGTTTATGTTTATTATAAGACTAGTATAAAAATAGTTCTGCTACAGAACTGTTGTTGTATAAAATGCTTACTGCTAGTTAGCAATATTGATTGAAGTTTATTTAATCATAATAAAGGTATTACATGCTGTACTTTTAAAGAATTTTTTTTATTTACAACTGCTACCTCACCTGCTGCTGTTCAAAAGATTTGGAGTCATAATACCGTGTGAAATTCAATCCTGTATATAATTAAGTACAGTATATTGACCATTTCAGTGAGTTCAGCAAGATTGACTTTCTTTTTTTTTCTTTCCTTTGTGATATAGCTGAAATAAATAAATAAATAAATTTGGGCTGCACCAGGATATAATATTCAAAGCATAGTTCCATATCTCATATCCTGGGATTAACTTTGGGCATCACGTTTCAAGAAGGATTCAGACAATGGCATAAAGAAAAATCAGAGGAAGTGCAAATGTTCAATCTTGAGAGAACATTCTTCAAATATTTGAAAGGATATCATACAGGAGGACATGGTCTATTCTTCATTTTTCCAGTGTCCATGACACAAAATAATGCATTTAAATTATAAGAAGGCAGAATATGGTTAAATGTTAGAAAAATATTCTAGCTTGACATAGAATCAGTTACCCAAGAGATGGAGGCCTCCTGTGCAATACATATGTTCAGGTAGAAGTTAGATAGCTCTCAGTCAGAATATTTTAACTGCACTGACCAAAGCAATTGTATTCAATGATCTAACCTGTTCTTCCAATTTTAGGATGCTCTGGTTATACAATAATGATCATTTCTTCTTCTTCCAGTATATGACGGCTGCGGCACCTATGCAAGGGACCTATATTCCCCAGTACACTCCTGTGCCTCCAACAGCTGTCCCTCTTGAAGTAAGTCTATCTTGTCTATTTTTATGCAGGTAAAGTCTATATTGTTTTACTCATTTGGATAAAAACCTCAAGAATTTTAAAAGATGGAATAACTTTTTTTAAAAAAGTCTCTTTGAAGAAATATGTTCATGTTTGGTTCTTGTTTTCATCCAATACAAGATAGAATATTCCCTGGATAGATTGTTCCTCATAGGTTGGGAAATAGTAAAATGCCACCTCTTAGACTGCAAACTCGCAGGAGAAAAGGCTTCAAAGAATAGTTTGATTCCATCATACCATAATGACACGACCCACTAGCAACTGCTAAAGCCAAGAGCTACCAGAAATGACAGGACTTGGGGGAAAAAAAGGAAAACTTCCCTCTTCAATATGCAGACCTGGAGGATGCCCACTGACCAAGTACTTTTTCATCCTCAATGAAGAAATTGTTCTCTCTCCCCCCCCCCCTTGGAAATGAAGCCTGATGATTAAAGTCCCAGGAAGTCCCCTATCCTTGGTCCCACAGATCACAAACTCCTCAGAGAACTATCATGCGGATTCTGCTGCTCTTCAGCTTGATCAAGCCTTCTAGGCAATCCCTAAGAGAGGAAAAATAAAACATGTTCATTTTTAAAGTTGTATATGTGAGTTTTGGTTTATCACAACTTCACTACAGGCTACTTTTCACCCAAAGATATATGATACTGTATATATAAATAGATAAATATGATACAGAGTGGGCTTCATAATTTGGTCCTGAACTTTGTATTCCATAGAGTAGATTCACTTGCCACTCTTTTAATAGTTAAGAAAGCTTTTATTCTGTAAATAAAATTTAAATCAACAAAAACTTTGCATTATTGCCTGTATCTCTGAACCACCAAAAAAGATATTTCAATTTATGTCAATAACATGATAGGGCAGGGAGTAAAACCTGCTATATTGAGAAAAGATGAATAGAATAGAACAGAACAGAATAGCTTAATTCATTCTTTGCATTTGTCGTCACACAAATCTACCAAAAACATAACCATAAAAGAATACAAGAATATAAATTAAAATAAGTGAGAAAATGATAAGAGAACACCTAGATGAATTTAGATGATCTGACAGATTACATCCCAGAATTCTGAAGAAACTGGTAGATGTGATCTCAGAATTATTGAACCATATCTTTCAAAGATACTGGAGCACTGGGAGAGGTCTGGAAAAGAGAGCTGATGTTCAGAAAAATGGGGGAAAAGCAGATCCAGGAAACTATAGACTAATCTGCCTGACATCAATAGCTGGGAAGATCCTGGAAAAGATAGTCAGACACAGATCTGTGAACACTTAGAAGCAAGCAAAGTTACAACCAGAAGCCAACACGGGTTTGACAAAAACAGATCATGCCAAACAAATCTTATTTCATTTTTTGACAAAGTGACAAAATTAGTGGACCCACCAAATGCAGTGGACATAGTATACTTGGATTTCAGTAGACCACAACCTACTTCTTGGAAAGCTAACAAAAATGTGGGATAGACAACATCATCACCAGAAGGATTTGTAACTGACTGACAAACTGCACTGAATGTGTAGCCCTTAATGGAATTATATCTACATGGAGGGAAATAAGCAACGTTCCATTTTATGCCCAGTACTCTTCAACATTTTAATAAACAATTTAGATGAGGGAATAGAAGAGTAACTCATCAGATTTGCAGATGACTGCAAACTGGCAGGAATAGCCAACATCCCAGAAGACAGGCTTAAGATCCAGATGGATCTTGACATACTTGGACACTGGGCCCTATCAATAAAATTCATGTAGATAAAAGTAAGGTTTTACACATAGGCAAGAAAAACCAAATGGACAGGTAAAGCTTAGGTGAAACCTGGCTCAATAACAGTAACTGTGAGAGGGATCTTGGAGTCCTAGTGGACAATCACTTAAATATGAGCCAGCAGTGTGAGATAGCAACCAAAAAAGATTAAGAGAGGAATAGAATCACAATCACACCTTATAAAACCTTAGTACGACCACACTTAGAATACTTCATCCAGTTTGGGTATTCACATAAAAAAGATTTTGAGACTTTGGAAAGAATGTAGAAAAGAGCAACAAAGATGATGAGGGATCTGGAGGCTAAAACATAAGAAGAACAGTTGCAGGAATTGGGTATGTCTAATCTAGAGAAAAGAAGGACTAGGGGTGATATGATAGCAGTGTTCCAATATTGACAGGCTGCTACAAAGAAAGGGTCAACCTATTTTCCAAAGTGCCAGAAGCAAGACAAGAAACAATGGAAGGAAGCTAATCAAAGAGAGAAGCAATCTAGAATTAAGGAGAAACTTTCTAATAGAACAATTAACCAGCTTGTCTTCAGAAATTTTGGTTGTTCCATCATTGGAGGCTTTTAAGAAGAGACTGGACCGTCACATGTCTGGAATGGTATAGGGTTGAACTAGAAGACCTCCAAGGCCCCTTCCAACTCTGTTATTCTGTTATATTAAAAAACTAATTCTATAAGCATGTTATTTTGTCAAATTCTTAGCAACTATATAGGCAATGTTAAATAGTATACACTGCTATATTACGATTATATTATATATGGACTTATTTTTAAATGATCTAAAATGTTTCTAAATTGCTATACAAAGCATGAGATGGGTATTACATGTGTGCCACAAATCTCATGTACTTTTTTGGAATATAAAGCATCCTTCCCCAGTTAGGCCAAGACCCATTTCAATCCACATTTTATTTCTCATATGGTCAACCAGATACCTCTGGAATGGTCATAATCAGAAGATAGCTTTTCCCCACCCTGTTGTTCCCCCGCTGTTGGCATTACTCCAATCTGGGGGTAATATTGAGCTAATATCTCCTGAAATACCTGTTCTCTATTAAAGTTTAGTTCTATTCATGACATAAACTAGTGAATTTCCTGTATTAGTTATGGAATATCTATGAAGAAGTGCTTTTTCCTCACTCTGAATTCTAAGTCTCACTAAACTGCCACTATGACTTTTTTATTATTAATTGGGGACAGTTCAGACCAAAACATTATTTCTTAGTATATTTTATCAATTTACATCTACTTAAATAAAAATAAACTTGCAAGATTCTTTTATTGTAACCTTGAAATAAAACAGTATTAGTATTTTAGTATTAGTATTAGAATGAACGACAACAATATGGCATCAGCATAGTATACAAATTCAACTAAGCCTTACAAAACATCTTAAGCAAAACAAAAGACTGCAGAAGCTTCAGAAGAAAAAGCAGGAATCGTGTACAACCACAGTGTAAGGATTGAAACAGCCACTGTATATATAGGCAGGCAGAAGACTCAGAGAATGTATCCATGAACACCAAAAACAAGTCAGAAGACACAATGTACAACACATGGATAGACTTAATCATACTTTCCTATTATATAACTTTTATTGTTTTATCAATGTATAAAATACAAAAAAAATAAAAATAGGAAATTAAGGGAAGAAAAAATGAGGTACAAGGGAAGAAAGAAAATATGAGGTACAAGGGAAGAAAGAAAAAGGTGTTGACTTCTGATTCTTTTTAACATAGTACAAGATAACATTACAACCTCTTTACAATCTTTTTCTTTAATTTTCTATTAAATTTTCAAATACATTTTCAATAATATTTTACAAACTTTAGGAATTACTTAAGCATTATATATAAAGAAAAAGATACATTTTCAAACTTTAGATTAAAACTTACATTCAGTTACAAATATCAAACTGATGAAAATCCATTCTAATTGTCTCATTAAGTCATTCCTTCCAGCTTGTCTTCATGGAATAAAACCTTTTTCTTTTCTGGAATGTTTATCAAGTAGTTGTAAGCTTCTCTTTTTCTTAAGAATTTCTCAGCCTTGTTAATATTCATGAGGAAAAAGTCCCAAACCTGTCCTTTTAAAAGTTGCAAATTTTCTTGGAGCTCTTCTTTCAGTTGTGTTGGGAGGCTTCTATTTAAACCATTATAATAAAAATTGGTGTCAATTTTATATTCCAAAATTATAGTTGACTCCTCTGCATTGTCAACTACTTGTGAAATTGCCTCAGTGGTTTGGTAACTTTCTACACATATTTGCATCTCTGAAGGATTTTGAGTAATCTTTTTAACATCTTTGGAGCATAGCTGTTCTATGAACTTATGGATTTTATTTAAAGATTTTTCCAGTGCTTTTTTTGTAAAAAAAAAAAAAAAAAGGTGCCAGAACTCAAACTTGTTATACAACCCGCCTTGCCTAGCCTACAAGATTCCACCCAAAAAAAGTGCCGGAACTCCGTTCTGGGCATTCTATGACAAAAAAAGCTCTGGATATTTCAAATACATCTCTAATAATTTGCTCCTCCATCTTCTTAACTTTCTCTTTAGTCAAAGAGTAGCTTTTTTGTAAATCACTTAAGAATTGCTGACCAATCAGGAATCATAAAAATCGGAACATTTTAGCCATCCACAGCAAAGCAAAGCTTTGAAAAGGTTTCATCTTATATTTGTCAGTCTAGCTATCACCAGCTTAACTAATTTGGTTTCATGGGAAAGGACTTAGTCTAAGTGCCAGAAGTTTATTGCACAAGCACAAACACTGACCTTAATGCCCAATAGGCAGATGACCATTGATTTGGCATACAGATAGTCCTTGACTTACAATACTTCATTTAGTGACCATTCAAAGTTACAATGGCACTGAAAAAAGTGACATGATTGTTTTCAAAATTACGACCTTTGCAGCATCCCTATGATCATGTGATCAAATTCAGATGCTTGGCAACTAGTTCATATTTATGACTGTTACTGTGTCCCAAGTTCACATGATAATCTTTTGTGACCTTCTGACAAGCAAAGTCAATAGTAAGCCAAATTCATTTAACAATTGGGTTACTAATTTATCAATTACAATGATTCACTTAACAACTGTAACAAAGGTCATAAAATAGGGCAAAACTCATTTAACAAATGTCTCACTTGCACAAATTTTGGGCTAATTGTGGGTTGTAAGTTGAGGACCAGCTGTTCTGCACAGTTAACTAGAAAACACCCTTAATTTCTTGGTTTTCCATCTTCATTTTTTGTTATTGCTTCCTGTTGATGTGTTTAGTTCTGATTTCACTGAAAGAACAAACAAATTAACTTTGTTTTGATGAGATCCAAATGAGACTGTCTTGTTAAAGGATAGCAACCTAGAGTATATCAGGGTTTCATTATTAAAGTAAGCTGTTCCAGCAGCTGGTGCAAAGGTGCCACCATAGTATGCTTATCTTTAAAAAATTATAACATTGATGTTCTAATAATAGAGTTGTGACTGTAATCAAGGTGATAAATTTGATTAAATAAACAGTTTAGCAACCCATGACTCCTGGAATATTTGAAATTTGACAAAATAAAAAATGGTACAACTGCCCTTAAATAATGAAGTTACTTAAGTGTTGACTATTGTGTTCTATAAGTTGTTGATTGTAGTCAAAACTATAAGATACTCTATATTCTTCAGGGTATAGTTGCTGATACCTCTCCACAGACAGTAGCACCTTCATCACAGGAATCTAGTGGTCAGCAGCAACAGATGGCAGTGGAAACATCCAGTGAACATGCATCTGCATATTCATACCAACAGTCAAAGTAAGTGATTTTAATTCCACTAAAATCAGATTTTTTCTTAAACCCAATTCCAGATTCATTACCAGTGTCAATATCCACATAACCCTTTTGACGCTGATGAATCAATGTGAATGATAGGCTAAATATCAATCATTTTTCTATTTTATGTTACATAAATTATCTGTATTTTTTGCTGTCTAAGTAGATACACAGATAAACAATTCAAGTTTGTCATCAAACAATACTAAAAAGTGGATGGCTGCTATTTCAATTTATATAAAGAATTATAATCCTGTTCACATGTTAAGGCCATCTAATTAGATGGGACTTTCTTGAAAGTAACAATGCGGATTGTGCGAAGGGAACTGATGCAGCCTTCTAAGACTGAGTGATAAAACATGATAGAGGTGTTGAACCCTTAATACTTCAATAATACATGCTTATTACTTCAGTATACAAGCTAAATGTAATAACATAATGGCTGTAGATGTATGAAAAAACCATATATACAATTTTGTTTCTGTCATGGGGCAGGCAAAAATCTTTAACAAATCCTTTCAAAAAAGTTTGAAAACCTTTGGGTCAAATGTGCAGCCTGCTTTTCTTTCAAATCAAATCAGAGGTGTGTTTAATTTTATATCCAATAGAAACCAGCTTCCAAAGTATCCACCTCTTTATATCTATGTGAACCACTGATCTAAGAATGGTCTGTCCTTGGAAAAATATAAAACCAAAACAGTCCTCATGCAAAAACAGGAAGTTTCCTTGGAGGAAGGGATGTCTGTTACCTCACTGATATGAATAAGGTAAAGTCTCCCTTGATTTGAGCTCCATCCCTGGTTACTTCATGAACGTTTCCACCTAGTTTTATTTACAAGAATATAAAATTGTTTTGCCATTGTCTTCTGGGATATTTTTTTCCAGTTTCCAAGTCTAGCTTAAAGCATTGCAGTTTCCCAGTCTTCTTCCATCCATGTACTAGTCAGAGTGTGCTTAGCTTTCTTAGATCAGCCAACATTGATTTGGTACCTAGTTGGATTCAAAGGAATTGACTGAATTACAGAAAAATTCCTAGGCATTTCTTAAAATTAACTTGAATCTTACTACCAGTTCTTTCACAATACTATATAAATAAATAAATATTATAGTGTAGTCATTTGACATCAGGAAATCTACTCTAATCGTGACATGGCTCAAGAGCTCCTTAAAGTAATCCAGGCAGACTTTAATTCTTTAAAAACTTTCCTGAGTAGAATTCAGATGTCAACGCTGCTAATATTGAATATTCTTGCTTTGACAAAATATGCAGAACTGTCTGGTATTTTTAGAGTTAATTCAGATGACAGAGAAAAGGGAGGGGAAATAACAAAAGCCCAGGAAAAGGAACGGAAGTGAATCTCTGCCCTCTGGGCTAATTGAAAGATGTGACTTGTGACTGCAAGATAAGGCAGGGGTTTAGCAAGAAAAGCTAGATGCCAGCAAGAGGAATTCAGATTCTGGCATAAATCTCCATGATGTGCCGTCAATTTGTAACACTGTTAATAAAGGCTTTAGGATAAACATGCCTGGACGTTCTTTGAAGTGTTTCATTAGTCAGAACCATGACATCAGAGCTGTATATATTGCCAAAGCAAATTTTCAGTAGAGTATAAGTTTAACTTATTTAGAGGTACAAGATGTATTTGTTGTTCAAGGAATGAAGATTTCAGGGGATGGGCATGCATAGGTTCCTACCAGTTCCTTTCAATTGCCACCTGGCATTTTTAATTTGTCAAGATGTTTTGGAATTATGTTAGCAGCTGCCAACAATGATGTTCATTTCATCCTAAATATTCTTTCAGATTGTGCTACTCCATGATGTGCTACATTCTTGGAATATTTCAAAGGAATTATTGAAATCCAAAAAAATTCCATGAGAAAACTACACATGTTCTTCATTGAGTATGACCTTCAAGTCAATTTAAAGAAAATTACAAATAATTGATTTTGTGCCTATAATTCATTCTCTCTAGGCTAAGGAAATTTAGCTTCAAAAGAATTTAAAAGAAAGAAGATTTTTTAAAAGACAGGTATTTTTACTTAATGAATGTTTTAATTCATTGTTTTACAGACAATGAACAGAGCTGAAAAATGTCGGTCAGCAAAGTTTGCCTTGAATGAAAAAACTTCATTGAACAAGAAGTTGGCTTCCTGTTTGCACAGGCATCAAAGTTTTTTGTTTCATTTTCTACTTTACCCAGCAAGAGTGTTTCTGTGTGCTGTGCAAATTGTTTGGTCATATAGTCTCATAGTTTTATTTTTGCTATTTTTTTTAATTAAAGGGGAAAACATGACAAAATACTGGGTTAATATTTTATCTGACTGAACATTAGAAATTCAGAATTTACTTGGAACTGTACATTTATACTTTTTGTTTGTTTTGATTTGTTTTGATTTGGTTTCTCAAAAACCAAGAATGATAATAACAAGAGGAAGAAAGCTGAGATGAAAACCAGTGGTCTTCCTCAAGAATCCAACTAATCTTTCCCCCTTGTTGAAATCAGCTGTGTCTTTCTTTTTGAGTTTGTATGCATATGTTTTTTTAAAGAAATGTTTAGGTAAGATTTATATTGAATCTTAATTGCCTTAATTTTAAGGATGACGAAGGCTCTCAAGGCAAGCTGTCAACATTTTGGTAGAAGAAAAGCAAATATATTCTAGTGGATGTGTACACCTGGATCAACTGGTGCTGAAGTTCAACAGACTGAATTTTTAGGATTAACAAACAAACAACAATAACAATAAAAACTGTATAGCTTAACAGAAAATATTTGAAAAACTGTTGATAAAGGAACTGTGACAACTTCAAAAATTGGAAAAAAAATTGCGAAGACTTTTATGAACTTTCTTAGTGTTGACAGAGAAGATTCTAGAAGGCTAAAGTGTTTTACAATAAAATTATTGAAGGGGGGAGGTCAACTTGCATTTTAAGGAATTGGTGGGAAGGGTTCTTGCAGAATTTTTAATTTACAAAATGTGATTGTTGGCTAGAGCATTAGTGCTTTTTATCTGCAGTCTTTTTTATGAGCTTTAAAGAGTTTTTAGTCTGCTTTGCTTGTCACATTCAAACACCTAGCTTAAAAGGCATTAGGGGGAAAATCTTAGTTAAGAACTTATAGTCAAAAAAGTGCAAAAAGCAATAGCTAGAAGAAATTGTTGACAATTTCTGTAGTCTTTCCTAGTTGTGATCAAACGCAGCCTATGGATGGCCTGTTTTATACCAAAGATGAAATGACATCCTACCACAGATCAGAAGATAGAAAGGTTTTCTTTTCTTTTCTTTTTCTTATTTCTTTTTAAACAAAATCTTTGTTTGATTAATATGGCCGGTCCAGTTGTTATCTTTATGTATTGCTTAAACTTTCTTCCACTGGTATTTTACATTCTGTGAATTTGGGATTCTAATCAAAATCTTGATTAGTTGGTACTTAACAGCACTTAGCAGAATTTCACAATATGAGGAAGATTTAACCTTAAGTTATTCAAGGTGTCTTTTAACTTTTCGGTGCTTTTCTGTGTTTTTTTCTTTTTTACTGAAACAGGAGTCTTCCTTTCTTATACCATCCAATGAGCTCGTTCTTTCTTTCTTTCTTTCTTTCTTTCTTTCTTTCTTTCTTTCTTTCTTTCTTTCTTTCTTTTTCCTCCTCTCTCCCTGTATTAGTTTCAGTGCTGAGGACTATCCATCATCATCATCTGGATGGTATTTGAGTCACTTAGAGGCCAATGAAAATGGTTAATATTTTTTTAATTATCCCATTCAAGATAAAAGTTTAAAACAGCTTGTGTTAATTTTCATGCAAGCATGAAATTAACAATCACTAAATGGATTTCTGTTGTCATGATATGTTTATTGACAATCAGTGATTAGTTAATTAGGTAAAAGACAAGAGTGACTATATTGAACCATTGCGAACTTATTTTTAAAAGATAAAAGAATATATGGAATCTATATATCGAGGATCCAGGAAAATACCATCTCCCATTTAAAGAGTGTTCGTTTCCATAAGTCTGTGGAGAAAACATTTTAAAATGAACTTTCCAACCATTTCCAATTTACTTATTCTTTGCTAGACATATATATATATGTATATATGTATGTATGTATGTGTATATATATATATATATATATATATATATATATATATATATATATACACACACACACACACATACACACACACACACACATATGCCCATGGAACCTGCACTGGCTCCTAAAGGTTTCTGTCCTCAAATTAGAACTGGTATTTATGAATGAGGTAAAGAAGTAAAATGTATCTATATGAGCAGATGAAGCATTTAAAATGGTCCTTCTTAAAGAAAAAAATAGTGTTCAGTGCAATGACTGTGATGTATTAAAAACAGGGTAACCATATTGAAAAATTATTTAAAAATAATAAAACAGATTTTTGGGGGAGAGAAGGGGAATCAAAGAGATTCAACTTGCCCAGTTTTAATATGAAGGATATATACAATTAAACTTGACTTCTACATGAACCCTAGTGAAATAACACAAGGTTTTGGCAGGAGCATTATTGTGCACAGAATCCATGGTTACGTTTAAATGATGTTTTTTAAAAAATTGAGTATTTTTTTAAGAATACTAAAAACAGTTCCTTATTTTTAATGTAGTATTTCATGTTTGGTGGGGTTGGGGGTTGGGTAAACCCCCCAAAATGGCTGCTAAATGCAAACATTAAAAAGCAAAAAAAGAAGAAAAAAAGAAAAACAGATTGTCACCTGGCTGGCATAATGAAAAGGACCTGGTTATTTGAAATTCGTGTAGTTTTCCGTAACTACATTGATAATTAAAAGAACCACAGAGACAGAAAAAAGTTTAATATATCACTAAGGACCTCTAGCTTCTTCCTTTTTTTCACGTGCTTTATCAATGCTTTTTACTTTCTATGAACATCCCTTGATTTCCCCCCTTGTTTTCATTCGGGATAGATGTGCCTATTGAAAGGGGCATGAGAAAAATGATCAAGCCAGCCTGATTTTCTTCCTTTTTATGCTTTCTTTGTGTGTGTGTGTGTGTGTGTGTGTGTGTGTGTGTGTGTGTGTGTAAATATAGAAGTTATTCTCCTGTGGCACAATTCTGTTTTAATACAAAAGAAGCATGTGTTGTGGGTTTGCTTGTTTGTTTTTAAATTGTCTCTATAAATTCTAGTTTGGTGCAAAGAATAGTCTCATTGCTGTTGACAATGAGGCTGTAAGGTAGCTACCGTGTGGCAGATGGATATGGCTGAGATACTTTCTTGTTTTGGATCAGCCCTCTGCTGTTTTCTTTATACTTTGGGTCATTTTGCTTGAGTTTGTTTCCCAAATCAGGTTCAAAACTCAGTATAGGATTTTTCATTAAGTCAGGCATCTTTCTCTTCCTCCTTACTGGTAACCATTAGTTCATCATCATCATTTGAAGTGTTTGAGAACTTTATATGTTTTAATGCTTTGACATCCAACAATTCTATCATTTTGCAAATAAATGAAAAGGGTAAAGACTCTTTTGAGTCAAATGTGACTCTTAGTGACACATATTTATGTTTTCTTTAATGAGGGACATAGTATGCCTTCTTCTGAATTATTGCTACTTTTGTTTTACTTCCCAGTCTTGTCTATGTCATTGAATTTCCTCGTGGATCCTATCCAAGTACTAATCAGGACTGTTCCTCCTTATTTTTCTAAAATCAGCCAAAGTTAGCTAAGTGCTTTATCCACCTGACCATTACAAATGGAGGAGGAACAGTGATCTATTCTTCCAATAAATTGCTCAGTTTAATAGATTACCCCTTTTGATGCATCACCGTGTTAATGATAGTCTAGGAACTATGTTTGAGCCAAACTACTATAATCTAAATTTGAATATGCTCCAAGAAAACCAAAGGATAATGCTTGATTTCAAATTTAATTTTATTAATCCTTCTGATCATTTATACCCACAGACTTTATAACAGCATTAAAGAAGCTGTATAATTTGGATTCAGTATTTAAAGATGTATGACACTGTTGTATCAATCTGATTATATTAACTATAAGATGTCAGTGACATAGAGAAATTATTTTTCATCTCCTGGGAAAAGTTTGCATATACTGTACATCTGACCCCAACCTGGAATAAAATATAAGGAGAGATTCCTTTGATAGCAGTATGGTTATAACTCATTGTAACTTTAGATTGACAGATCTAACTTTTTAAAAAATCAAAAGACATTTGATTCATTTAGTAAGACCTTGGAATTTTCCCTTCTGTCTCAGTTATACATCTCTTTATGTGATGCCACAATCTAGAAAATATTGGAATGTTCCAGAATTCAAAAGTAATTTGCAGTTAGAGAAGAAAAGATGAGAAGTCTACTGGATCAAAAGCTCATGGAGATTGCAGGCTTTGCAGCAAAAATATATCTATCTAAGGTCTATTTCACAATGTCATTTGGAAACTCTGCACAATGAATGTATTTTATATGTTTAACCCATATCACCTTAACATTGAAAAGGACAACTTCCTTTAATGCTACCTAAAGTATTTCATTATTTCTCACAGTACTAAAAACCACTAAAAATTATACTGGCCATCTAAATGGCCTTGTTCTATTTGATGAATATAATTTCTGGAATCAGGGGTTAATTGTTTGAGCTCCATACTTCTCTGCCAGATGATCATTTTTCCTTGTCTGATATCATATAGAAAGATGCTTTGGGTTATACACCTCTGCTCTTTGAAAGTTTTAATATTCCAATTTTTGTGTGAGTCATGACACTGAACAAGACTTTTACTTGTGCAGTAGAATTTAGCAAGCTTTCTGGATAACCATTGTTTCCCCTCCTTTGCTAACCCCCTCCTCAACTTCATCAACTTCTGAGATGGGATTGCTGGTTTTAAGTAATATGATGGTGGTTACCTAGTTGTGAGTTGTCACTTATAAAACAACCCAGGGCTGGACTGCTGAAATATGGGATTTGGAAAACTAATATACCATTGCAATAATGTCAGAATAAAACCTAGGCTAGACTTCAATATCATCAGGATTCTGAAAATTTTTCCTGAAATCTTTTTAATTAATGTGCATTTAATTCAAGTATTTGAGCAAGGAAGCATATATATGTGTCTACGTATATGTATATGCATATGCATATGTATATAGATATGAATATGTATATGATGCGCGCGTACACACACACATACACACACACACACACTATATGTAAAGACAAACATTTTTGGCTGTCTTCAACAATATTGAGGGATATTTAAATTGTTTCTGAATGTGCTCTCCTTAATATATTCCTGTTTCCATGGTTCTACTTTTCCCAAGAGGCATAGAGAGAAATGACCAAGTATACTGGCACACAATCCACCACATATAAAGCCTTGCCAGCATGTGCCATACATGTAAGAGTTGAAAGTTTATTTCATGTGATTTCACTTTCATATGATTTTTTTCCCAAGGATTTCATTAATTCCCAACTCACATAGCTGAATAATCAACAGAGGGTATTCCTGCTGGAAAACAGAGTCTTTTGAATTTACAGTTTGAATTTCACGTTATCCAGGAATGTCCTATTTGGAACCAACCATTCACAGACTTTTCAAAAAAATGCTTTCCCCTCCAGCTGGCCAACATTTTCTCTTTTACTAGAGAAACATTCTTGTCCTGTCAAAAAGTTGTTCAAATCTACAAACCTTGTAGATTTGCAACATTAAACTGCTCTATACAGTAGTGTAATTGCAATTGTTTGTTCTGAAGTATGTATGTGGGTACTTTGAAATTAATCCACCATGTTGTAGTATTTTCTACTACAATCGCTTTCATAAAACTGTTGATTAAGCAAATAAGTGATTCCTACAGCAAGGTTAAATATTTAAATTAATTTGACATTATTCAGAATAATGAAGGATGTGTCTTTGTAAGTTTGTCTATTGAACCAGCAGACTTAAGAATGCCTGCAATGTAGTAATAAAATTTATTTTTAATATGTCACAGTATTTTGATCTAAATTATCTTGAAGAAATGATATGAAGTACATAGAAAGTTGTCTTGATTTGTAACGAAGCCTGAAGATGGCATTATCAGCCTTGTTCTCTTCATTAGCTGAGACTAATGTGAGTGAAACAGGTTTAAATAACATCACTTGAAATATTATCTATCTAATAAAAGTCTTCTGCAAGGTAGGCTAACGAGCTTCACACAATTAACATCAAATGTTAACCATTGCAAAACCAAATGTGTTGAGTCATACATAGTCAACTTTTTATTTCAGTGCTTTATTTAATATGAAATTGCTTTTGATGTACAAAGGGACAAGGGATCTTTGTTTCTTTTGAATAGGCTAAGGATGTTCAAGCAGTATTTTGGAACTGTAAAGGAAAGCCCAGCACATATTTCTGAAAACCTCTTTTTATGTTATCAAACTTTTCTATAGAATTATATGATTTCATTTTAAATAAAGCATAACATCATCATGCATGTAACCAATGGTGTGTTGTAGTTGGCTTTCACTACTCCTGAAAGCCAATTGTTAAACTATCAAGAATTTTGTGCCTGGTTGGCAACAGAACTGAGCCACCACTTTGTCAGCTTTTTGGCAGCCAATTGGAGAAAATGGCAAGAAGGTGACAATCAGTAGAGAGGAGGCAGAAATGCTTTCTGAAAGTAACTGCTTATTCTGAAAAAATATAAGGAATGAATCTGCAAACACTAGAGACAAATAAAATCATAACCAGAAATTAAGATGAGTTTGTTAAAAACAGATCATGCTAGATAAATCTTATTGTATTCTTTGCCAATGTGACAAAATTAATGGACTTCAGTAAGGCATTTGATAAAATAAACCACAACCTATTACTTGATAAGAGAGAAAATGTAAGTTAGAGAGCAGCAGCATCAGACGGATTCATAACTTAATGGAACTGCATCTGCATGGAAGGAAGTATGCAACAGGGTCCGGTTCGGTCCATGGCTAGTACTCTTCAATATCTTCACCAGTGATTTAGACAAGGAGAACTCATCATATTTGCAGATGACACCAAGCTGGCAGGAATAGCCAACACTCCAGAGGACAGACTCAAGATACAGAAGAATCTCGAAACACTGGAACATCAAGCCCTATCTAACAAAATGAAATTCACTGGTGAGAAAAATAAGGTCCTACATTTAAGCACGAAAAACCAAATGCACAGGTACAGAATAGATGATATCTGGCTCAATAGTAGTAACTGCGAGAGAGATCTTGGAGTCTTAATGGATAATCACTTAAATATGAGCTAGCTGTGTATTGCCCTGTAAAAAAGCCAATGTAGTGCTAGGCTGCATTAACAAAGGGATAGAATCAACATCATATGAACTATTAATATCACTTTATAATGCCTTGGTAAAACCACACTTGGAATATTACATCTGATTTTGGTCATCACAATATAAAAAAGATTTAAGACCATACAAAGAATACAGAGAAAAGCAAGAAAGATGATTGGGGACTGGAGCTAAAACATATGAAGAATGGTTGCAGGAACTGGGTATGTCTGGTTTAATGAAAAGAAGGACTAAGAATGACTTGATAGCAGTGTTCCACTAACTAAGAGGCTACCACAAAGAAGAGGGGGGCATCCTATTCCCCAAAGGATCTGAAGGCAGGACAACCAATCAAGGAACGAACCAACCTAGAATTAAGGAGATATTTCCTGACAGAGCAATTAATCAGTGGAACAACTTTTTTCCAGAAATTGAGGTGTTCCAGCACTGGAGGTTTTTAAGAAGAGATTGGAAAACCACTTGTCTGAGATGTTATAGAATTTCCTGCTGGAACAGAGGGTTGGATCAGAAGATCTCCGAGATCCCTTCTAACACTATTATTTTGAGCTGGCATTGTTGGTTGCTATGTATTTATAAGCACACCGTTGTTTTTAACCCATATTAACCCATATTTGGCAAAATGAAGATCAATGATGCATAATTATAAGACTATCTCTAGGATCTGATTTTAAAAAAGGCAGGATGTCAGCTCCACCATAACAATACAATCACAGCTCTGCTTTTTGTATGCATAGTATGTATGCAACACATAAAAAACAGGCAAAACTTTTATTGCGTCATTGTACTTTGGTCTTGATATTTTTTTTCATTACAATCTGAGGACTCCCTGGACATTCTATTTCTTAAGGAGTGGATTTTAGGAATCTGCCAAGGATACAAAGAAGGGGGGAAGGAACTTTTAATCCTTTGGGGAAATCATTCTTCCTTGTATGGTTATATTACCTAAAATGATTTCAACTTTAAATTCATCTTCATACTTCAGATTATAGAAAAGAAACAGTTTTTAAACATTTACTAACATGTTCTTTGTAATTAAATAAATGGAACATATGACAAATAATGTAAAGTGAATGTCAGGTTTGCTTCTGTGGAGATTAAAATAAAGGTGTTTACATAAATGGATTTCTATTTTGACAGTTATTACAATAATTTCTTTCATCATAATGATTATTTGTTAGGAGCTGTGAATGTTCCACTGTTACTTGCAATTTCTTAGCACATTCTTCTGAAAGCTGAGGAAGACATAAGGATTTAAGTGCTTGTCTTTAAGGACAAACCATGAAAAAAGATGCCAACTTCAGATATCACTGCAACGGAAAGGAGAAACCAACATGATGCACATGTGATTTCAACAAATGACAAATTACTCAAATGGTAGTTTCATTAAAATGTCTATTAAGCAAGCCAAGTGGAAGTGCAACATTGGAAGCTTTTATTCCTGACAAAGAAATCTTACTATCTGAACATCAAAAGCAATAAGTCCTTGTAAAATAAAAATATTCACTCATCCTAAATGTGTGATGACTTGGCCTTAACTTACCTGTAATTCACTACTGATTGATGATGAATCGTTCAGTTGATAGGCAAAAACAAAGCAGAAGCTAAATCAGGCTACAGTTTGCTACAAGAAATGGGATTTCTGTATTGTTCTTAGAACAAGGATTACAATCCTACTCATTGCTAATTTTAGATTTAAATATGACAGAATCTGATCGGATCATGCTGGAACTGCCATGCTTCCCACCAAGTTATAGTTAATTTTATTTATATGTTTCTCACGGAAGAAAAAGATTTATTCCAATGTTTCATATGATAATTATTTATTTTTTTATTTTGAATTAAAAAGGTTTCCTTGTGGTTAAAATGAAACCAGCTCAAGAAACTAGGACTCTGAAATTAGATAAATTTTCTATGTAAGAGGTAAAAGGAGGACACCTTTGTAAATTTCCCAGGTCCTAAGATGTAGGGTAATGATTCAAACTTGTAAAAATCAAGGGTATATTTGTGGTAATGTTTCATAATGTCATTAAAAGTTCTATATTGCAGAAGATTGCTTTTTTTTCCTCTGCCTTTTTGTTCATTTGTATCGTAATCCTTATAGCTGTCGTTTTCCCCATTCCTGGGGTTTTACGTTTATCAGTGGATGTAAGAATTAAATCTGTCTTTTCCTTGATGAAGCTTTTAATAAAAAAGAAATAAAGCATGACTTGCATTTCTTGTGTTAAGATTTTACTGAAAAAGAAAGATATGGAAGTAGCAAAACATTTAAGTGAGAGTGCTAAAATTCTCCTATAAACACTACATTCTCACTATTTGAATCATGACTATCTAAATTTGCCTAAAAGTTTCATTCTGGGAATTATCAGTACCTAACAAAATGAAATTCAATGGTGAAAAAGCCAAGGTTCTATATTTAGGCAAGAGAAATCAAATGCAGAGGTACAGTATAGGTGGTACCTTGCTCAATAGTAGCAACTGCGAGAGGGATCTCAGAATCATATTGTACAATCACTTAAATGTGAGCCAGCAGTGTGCTGCAGCTGCCAAAAAAGCAAACACAATGCTAGGCTGCATTAACAGAGGGATAGAATTAAGATCACGTGAAATGTTAATACCACTTTACAATGCCTTAGTAAGGCCACACTTGAAATACTGCATCCAGTTTTGATCACCATGATGTAAAAAAGATGTTGAAATTCTAGAAAGAGTACAGAGAAGAGCAACAAAGATGATCAGGGAACTGGAGGCTAAAACATAGAAAGAACGGTTGCTGGAATTGGATATGTCTAGTTTAATGAAGAGAAGGATGAGGGGTGACATGATAGCATATTCCAATATCTCGGGTTACCACAAAGAAGAAGGAGTCAAACTATTTTCCAAAGCATCTGAAGACAGGACAAGAAGCAGGAGATGTAAACTAACCAAAGAGAGAAGCAACCTAGAACTAAAGAGAAATTTCCTGACAGTTAGCACAATTAATCAGTGGAACAACCTACCTCCAGAAGCGGTGAATGCTCCAACAACTGGAAGTTTTTTTAGAAGAGACTGGATAGCCATTTGTCTGAAATGATATAGGGTTTCCTGCCTGAGCAGGGGTTTGGACTAGATGACCTCCAAGGTCCCTTCCAACTTTATTATTATTAGTAGTAGTACCGTTACAATAATAGCTCAAAAGATACACAGAGATGACTAAGCAGAATTCTCCAAAAGATAAAAATGGGTTATTCGGGTTTTCTCCCGCATAAAATTGGAAGTGTCTTGGTGACGTTTCGACGAAGTCCCATTTGTCATCTTCAGGCTGGTGTTTTCTAGAAGCACAAAGCCAAAAACACCAGCCTGAAGATGACGAATGGGACTTCGTCGAAACGTCGCCAAGACACTTCCAATTTTACGCGGGAGAAAACCCGAATAACCAAAGACCTACATACAAACACTCGCAAAAACCTCAGAAAACATATACCGTATATGCCAGCGTACAAGGCGACCCGGCATATAAGACGACCCCTGTCTTTGTTGCCGAGTCGCATTCCTAGAATGTCATCTTATATGCCGGAAACTACCAGTATTTCCGGTGTATAAGACGACTCAGTGTATAAGACGACCCCCGTTTTTGGTGCCGATTTTAACGCTTGCAGAAGTCGCCTTATATGCCGGCATTTACGGTATATAAAAACAAATAAATACGAACATCAGGATAATATCAAACTAAGATTTGTTTAATAAAATGATGAGCTTTCGTCAGCCAACACTGCCAACATCATCAGAGCATAAAAACAAGTCAATAGGAGTTCCCTTTTTATAACGCCAGCCGATTTTGCGCACGGCTACTGGATCTAGTCATGGGTCCATCTGATATCTCTGATTGTTTCATTCTTGGAAGGCACGTAATTGCTGTTCCCTTGATGGTTTTTAAAGCCGCAATTCCCTTATCCATTTTCTTTTCTCCAATCCCCTCCCTTGTGCACCCCCCCCCCGCTGTCTGTTATTGCACCACTAACTTCTAGGGCTGCTGATCCCTCTTTCTCCTTTTTGCCCATTGCTTTCTTCATATGTATCCAATTACCCAGATTCGTTGTTCCCTCCTCCCCCCTTTTTTTGAACATTTTGTTCATCTGCTCATGGCTGTCTGCTGTAGTCTCAATGATTTTTAGGGATGCTGCTCCCCCCCTCCTTTTCCCCAACCGTTGATTCGCTCGTGTGTCTCCAACCACCCCCTTGTGCTACACACTTTCGCTCATTCCCTCTCCTCGTCTCTAGCCCAAGGCATAGCATTCCATCCCTGGCAGGCTGTTAGCAGGATGTGTATCCAATAAAACCCTCTTGCTTTTTTGCCCCATTGCTCCTGTGTGTGTATGAGTGTTTCAAAGATGGTCCATCAAATGCGTCTGAATGTTTGTCCAGGAAGGCTCTAGTGCGCCCGTTCCTGTCTCCACTCTTCTGTTGGAGGACGTTGTCCTTCTCAGGGGATGCCCCAAGGCATGTTGAAAGCCTCCTTCCCACCATTCACTCCGATCTTCCATCGCTCGTGATCCTCGCACCTGCATCACCAAACTCTCTGCAAGATGTGTATTGGATTCTACTCCATCCTTAATTAGCCCTCTTGCTCCTCTTGCTCATGTACAGTCTCCCAATGGGGGGTCCCCTGTTCTTTCTATTGCTATACCCCTCTGGTCCTGTAAAAGGTGGATAAATTTCTTTTGTTGGGAATCCTGGCATTGTTTTTCCCACGTTCTCAGCATTTGGTATGCTGAGCAGAGTTCTATATGGCGGTTTATAGAGTTCTCATTGGAAAGTCAAGCCTCTTTAAGTA